GTTGTCCCATTTTTCACGTTGTTGATGAGCTCATCCCAAATGTGAATTTCAGCTGTACCTGTCTCATCTTCTAAGACACAATCCTCTTTGACGAGCGTCATCTTTTGTGTGGATTTCACTTCAACCGGCTTAGGTTGTTCACTGCCCAATGAAATCGTTGCTGTGACGTTGACCTTCTGGTTTATCTTTAGAGTTGGTACCTGTTCCAGAGTGATCGTAGTAGCAGGTTGCACTGAAGAGGAGGATGACTCAGATGCAGCAATGTCTGGAGAATAATCAAAGTCAATGTCGAACGCTGGTGCAGACCTTACAATTGACTGTTGGTTGAAGATAATGTCCTTGTTCGAATCATTCTTCTTAGTATTTGACAGCAGCACAGGGGTTTTTGATTTGTTATGTCCACTGAAGGTTGAGTGGCTTGGGATATTAAATCCAACTACTCGCTGTACTTTGGAAGGACTTGTTTGCAGATGAAACTCAAACCAATCCGTTCTCTTTGAGCGTTTTACAGGGCTTAAATTATGTATAAAGCCACAGAGTGATTCTAAGGAAAAAATCAAAAGATTCATGTTAAATAGGCAACAAATCACTGTAGTCTCTGTGTTTAGTACCTATTCACCATTTTCCTTGCATTCTGATCTACTGTTCTTCCCCCCATAATCATAATACTTACCCGAGTTAAGGTCTGGCTCACGCTTTGACATTCTTTCCACAAAGAATCTGTAACAAAAAATAAAAATTCTAAATAAAGGTTATGTACATTGTAGCAGTTTTCCACTCAATTTATGCCATTATTTCAAGTTAAAATCTGTATCCTTTACATTATCTTGAATCAAGGCTCACATCTGGTTAATCAAACTCTAATTGTTAAAAGTGGTTTTATCTGGTTTGGATGTTTAATATATTTAGGGCAATAGGATTCTACAATAAACTGTCCAAAGTATCTTGGGCTAAACCATCTAGCCGCTCTTCTTCTTTAAGTCTGTAATTTAAATTGCACATTTTTTTTGGGTGCTTGCAGTCTATCCAGGGTCATGGGTTCTACCATTAGGTCTTCAAGATTCTTAACTCTACTTAGTGCAACATATGTCATTCCTGAAGATTTTTCTGAAGGACCAAGATCAACCCAGGCTTTCTTTAGCGTTAAACCTTGACTCTTGTGTATAGTGATTGCCCATGCTAACTTTAGGGGTAATTGCTGTCTTTCACATTTTTGACCTAGGTTTTGAGAAACCTGTGTTATTGGACAAATTGGAACACATCTTGGAAATCTAGCAGAAAGAGTAGGGCCATTATAATCGTCGTCAAACTGTACAAGAACACAAATTGGTAGCGTCGGGGAGTCTGGTCATGTGGATAAACAAAATCTAATACTGTCCCTAGGGCTCCATTACAAAGTCCAACTTCAGTCCAGATGTTCATAGTGAGCATTACTCTCGCTCCTTTTGCTAAGTAAATCACAGGCTCTAGGCCTCCCATTTCATCTGAGCTAAGGTTCTGAGCACCACCAGAGTGACGAGCTTTTATAGTTGCTATTGGTTGATTAAGAGCTTTTAACTTGGCTATGTTTATCTCTGCAACACTAGACTTGAGATAGGATAGTCTTATTGATGACATTTCAAATTCCTGGATATTTGATACACGGTCTGGAGTTCTTGACAGTAATGTATGCCAATCAGCTGGTGTGGATTCACCATTACGTGCTCTGAGAAGAAGATCCCTAAAAAGGTGCTGCTCACTACTGTTACCATCAACTCTGTGGTTAACTGTCAATGCAACTACTTTGTTAAACTGTTGATACATGAGATGACCCTGAATCTGCTTATCTGTTTTGGGCATTGAATGGTAAAGTGGTTTATCACCAACAGGGGGTAACTGTGCTATATCACCCACAACAATAACCGAAAGACCACCAAAACTCTGATTTGCCAGGCCTGTAGCTTGTCGGCATCTAGAATCTATCCAGCCAAGCAAACTCTGACCAACCAAAGAGTATTCATCTATTATCAAATACCGAAGATTTTCTACATTACTTTGAAGCTGTTGTAGTGCTATTCCTTTTAGTTCAGTGAGTCTTTTTTGAGCCAATTGGCAATTTGAGAAATGAATGCAAAGTTACACCATTCACATTAAAAGATGCTTTTCCAGTGTACGCTAGCACCTTGCATTGTGTTTGGAGTACATTTCTAATGGCGTCAATGAGATAGCTTTTCCCTGACCCTGCAATACCTTTAATTAGGAGAAGTATAGGTTCTTTGTCACTTCTGTTAAAGTGATCACAAACTACGTTGTATGCCAATCTTTGGTTTGTACTAAAGCTTGAAATATCTACTATCCTTGTTGGCATTTGCCACTGAGGATTATTCATAGATTTTTGATTTGCTAACCAAGATACTACAGAATTTAGTTGCTCTTCATCAAAGTGTTCAGTAACATTGTGCCAATATCCCTCAGGAGCTAAGACAGAACTTTGTGCATCATTAGTAATGTTTTGAATATTCAACTCAGACATTAACATCCATTCTTCCTTTTCCTCTTCTTCATCATTTTCTGTTGTAAAATTGTCAGTTTCTAGCTTAATAGATTCCTTTAAGGCTTGTAACTTGATTTCCCAGTCAGGAACTACAGCCTTTCCATTGTTACTACAGAGAAAATTCATCCAACATGTTTTGAATGTTTCATTACAGTGTTCAGCATTACTCCAGGCATCATCTGGTGTATGCTCCCAAGGTTTATACTTAAGTAGTTGATATTTACAAAAAGCCCATAATGCTGATTTTGAGGATTTGATGAATAGTTTGGATATGTTTTAACAATTACTGGTCGTTTTCTTTTCTCTAGTTTTGAACCTTTATTAATATATGTAGATGTAAACTGTACAAAGTTGCATTCTAGTATACTTGGAAATGTTTTCATGTATTTCCTTCGCTCAGCATATATATCGAGCATGGATGGGGCAGTACAATATTCCTTATCTCTTACAATTTGAATTCTTCTTGAGCCATCTAGAGATGCATTTATTACTTCATAAGTAGCACTTACACACTTAAGAGAGAGTAAATGATGCATGACCTCTTGAATTGAATAGTCCCTTTGTCCTACAGATTTGATCATTATCTGCTTAAATGTGTTATGAATGTCACTTGTGTCTGAAAGCTTCTGAACAATAGTGGTGAATGCATTATTAACAACGGAAGATGCTTTTTCCCCTTTGGATGTGTACTTAACAAGATATTCTAAACATGCCTGGTAATCCACAATAATTTGGATATCACAATTTGCCCTCCATCCTTGAAGCTGCAATGGTTGATGACGAATTAATCTTGAGTCATTTCGTTTAGTAACAATAACTGCTTTATACTTTGGTTGACCTGATTTTGTATGGACAGGTTCAAAATCTATCCTTGTTTTTTTACAGTTATCAAATGGAAAATTAAACCTGCAGCATAATTCGCAACCGTCTTTTTCCCTAAGGCAATACTTAGTACTACACAACGTATGCCTTTGAACAGAATTCAATAGATTCACATAGTCATCTTCCATTTCTCTTCTTTTAAGGAAAGATATGGTGTTTGACATGGATGAGAATTTGGCTTGGACCAACCTTCATCTGGAGAACAAAGGATTCCATGTCGTTAATAAAAAATTGACATATTGGCAAACAGTTGCCTCAGCATTTTCCCCCTTTTCTCCTTATTTTTCAGTTCTTGTAGTTCTTCAATTGATATATTTGCTTGGTGTTCTTTGATATATTTTGATGCCAAAAAACCCTGCAGTGCAACTGCTGTAAGTTCACAAAGCCCTGGATCATTCTGCAATTTTGCAACTCCGTGACAATGAATCGATCCCTCTGAACAGCATATTCATATCGGTACCAATACCAAGATGCCTGTAATGATTTATTCAGCCAAAACTTCACAAACCGATCAGTTCGCTCAGTGAAAAACCAGTCAATGAGATGTGGATTGTCAATAACATGTTTCTGTCTCAATTTTGGTGTGATATCTCCACAGTGGTCATTACTTAGAAGATTATGAAATTCTGGCCAATGGTACTCTGCACAAGACAAGGTAAAAAAAAAAATTGTAGGAGGTCCTACTTGAGCAACGGTAGCCCTTAAATCCTCTTTTGCTTTGTGCCAATAGCTATTGCTACCAGTTATATTTTTAGCATAATGCATAAGTTTAGACATTAAAGTTGAATGATTATTTGACTGAAGCATCTGTTTAAGTTGTTCCACAGTTAGTTTTGCATCGCTAGGGTTTTGTTTCAAAAAAAATACTCCCTTGACTAAGAAGTCTATGCCTCTGAATCATATTAAAAGCCCAATATGCAAATCGTGGATGGCTTGCAAACCTATAAGTCCACTCATCATTAGAATATTCAGCAAATTTAATTAGATGCTTTATTTTCTCTCCTAAAGTTGCACCCGCTTTATAGCAGTGTTTGTAGGGTCTCCTTTAGCATCAGGAAATAGGGTGGGAAATGCCATTGTTGCTAGAAATTCGATCTTAAATTCATTCAGAGGGCTTGCGTCTCTGTGTGGCCAATTTAATTTATGCTTTTGCAATAACTGATCTGTAATAAGTTGCTTTTGAGGCTTTAAGGTTACTGGATTAAGGATTGTGCTGCTTAATTCTGTCTCTTCATTGAATGGTATTTCATTGACATCAAGTGGACCTCTGTCTGGATCCATTTCCTTATCTTTAGTATTCTCAATACAATCAATCTGATGCAGTTCACTTGGGATGCCTTCAGATGGCAAGGAAGACAAGCAGTCATAATCTATAGTAATATTTTTGTATACAGGGTTATGCTGGACTAACCAGTGTAGAGCACAGCTCACTTTTTCCCCGCCTTACTGTAAGATCTTTATAAGTATTATCTTTGCCTTTGACTGACACAACTATCACAGGCAGCTCCCTCGGATACCTTGGCAATGAGTTAGCTAGCTCTTGAATATCTTGGGAAAAATTAATACAGTGGCCTTTGTATGCCTTTTGCCCCCCTGGTTTTGTATAAACAGATATTACTGGAAATACACGTGCTATAAGCATTTCTTCTAATTGCGTGAGTCCCTGCAGTTCTTTTGGTGCTTGTGAAGGTATCATATTATTGTCAACTGAAAACTTTTTGTTGCATTCTTGTCACGCAAACACCTAGAGCACACATATGTAGATTCATCTTTACATTTTTTCTGACAATGGCCATGCTTCATGGCAGATGTTGCATTTATAGATTTTGAATTTCAAAGAATTATGGAAATCTCGCATGTTTTTTAGCCCATTCCTGTAAATGAATTGGTCCATTTGTTTGACTATCAAACAAAGACAAATATTTTTTCCTTCTCCACAAAACATTTAAATACATTTTGATCTGCTTGCATTTTAAAATCACTGTTAACACTTTTTGCATGATTTTCCATGATGTCTGTATTTTGTTTTTCTTCTCTAATAAGTTTTGCTTGCATTTTAAAATCACCATGAACACTTTTTGCATGATCTTCTTTCATTACTGTATTTTGTTCTTCTTCTCTTGAAATTGTTTTGCTACCGGTTGCAACGTCTTTCTTTCTGTTGTTGTATTCCTTCATGTATATATTTTGCTTTCGTCGTGTAGTAAGTTTCTCACTATGAAATTCATTGTTTTTCTTTCTCCTTCTGTACTCTTTCATGTAAGCATTTTTCTTCTGTTTTAGGCCAAGTTGTTTTTCACTTTTTTCATGATTTTCCTTCATGTTTGTATTTTGTTTTTCTTCCGTTGCAAATTTTTTTGGTATCAGTTTCAATGTTTTTCTTTCTCCTGTTGTATTCCCTCATGTATATATTTTGCTTTCCTTGTCTAGCAAGCGTCTCACTTTGAGATTCATTATTTTTCTTTCTCCTTCTGTACTCTTTCATGTAAGCATTTTGCTTTTGTTTTTGGCAAGTTGTTCTTCTGCAGTTTCATTACTTTTTCTTTTCTTTCGATATTCTTTCATGTATGCATTTTGTTTTGCTTGTGCAATGTGTTTGTTTGATGGCACTGTTAAAGTATCATTAATGAGTACTTTTGGCACTGAATGTCCTGTGAGGTATTCTTGGGTGTACTTAGATTGGTTCACAGCTGCATGTGCATTACCGCTATCAATGAATGGAATGGCAGACTTTTCATAGACAGCAAAATACCAGCCATTGGCATGGGCAATCAAGAGGTTTTGAAAAGTGGAATATTGCTGAATTGATCTGCAGATATCATCAAAATACAACCAATGTGTTCCTTTATTTATAGCGATAGTAAAATGTTGACTTGCAGAACGCACAACAGCTTTCAGTGAATAATAATTTTCTAAAACGTCCATAGTTAAAGGAAATGTAATTTGATCAATACAATTGGATGACAATTCAATAGTTAAAAATGTGGGAAGTGTTACAAAATGTCGCAATGCAGAAACATCACCACTGTGTTTTTGGCAAGATTCACAATAAAGAGCCCTACTGTGAGGAAGAACAGCTTCTGAAACATGATTTGCAAATTGCGTGGAAATGATATTTGGGCAGGTAATGTAAAGAACAAATATACCTGTCTTATATATGATTTGGTTGCCACATGATGCGCAACACGACTGATTGCATTGCTGAACAACAAACAATGACTTGAGGTCCTCACTTAACTCTCCGACAGTATTCAATGTAAATATGTCACTAAAAACAGCATTGGCAGTCATTGCAGAAAATGATGAACAATGATCTCTGAGCCATAACCACACAGGTTCTCGCACAATGTCAATAGCCCCAAGGTTTTCTCTTTGATTACATGACTCATAGATAACGTCAAAAACTCATTTCGTGTAGTGCTATGAAGATGATTACAAAAAACACCATAACACAGCTCGAGAAAACAATCAACTGCACAGGAAAATTTACCTGCATTGTTTAAACAATAATTACTGAAGTGATCTCTACCAAATGAATAGCTGTTTTCCTCACACATTTTTGCAGCTTCCAAGTTATTTATGTTTCCATTTAATATGTGTGCTTCTTTATTAGAAATTGCAAAGGGATTAAAACTACCATTAGAAGGATAAGGTATACGTCTAGACAAATATCTTCCTCGGAATCTGAAAATGGTTACATTTTGATATCCACGTGGAAAATTGAAATTAGTCTCACCACTATGGCCCTGATAATGACTTACGACTAATAACACACACAATAGACGAAGCATCATAAATTCTCGTGAGCTGTTACTTCAGTGCACGCGCTTCAGCAAGTGTACTTTGGACCTGAGCAGTTCTGATTTCAAACGAAGCTAAGCACCCTACAATTTTGGAATAAAAAACTATCCAAACTGATTTGCTAAGCTCCCTCAAGCTTGACTGATAGTGGCTTCCCGGCAAACAGAGCTTAGACTGTTTTTCACTTTCGGACACGCTAATGGATAAGCAGAAAAAAGCGCACAACTAACAGCGACACGCCATGTGACTCGTGTCTCGTTGGTCGATCAAAATTTGTAATTTTGAGCACTGAGCACACTAGCTCGATAAAAAGAGGCTTTATACGCCCTCTGATTGAGTTTATAGTGAATATATTCAAGTGGTTTTGTTTTTGTTTCTTAAATGGCACGCTGGCCGATCTGGTCAAGACAATTGACTGTTTTGGCAAGCTCGCCGTGACTGTGACACTGTCACTCGCCGTTTTCGAGCTGCTCTCGATAACTGCCTCGCTGGGCGATTTTAGCCTCGCTGGGCGATTTTTCAGTCTGCTAGTTGCTAGATTTGCGACCCCGGATCCAAAAAACACTTAATTAAAATGCACCCAAGAAGACAACGCTCACGAGTGAATAAAATCAATATTTCCACTCACCTTTTCCTGCCTGGTAATTGATCACCTCGCAAGTCGCACGATGCCCAACACGAACAGGAGATGCCGGGATACACCAGAAAATGCCCACGAGGTTAATGTGGTCATCTGATGTTGGTCATGTGGTCACCGGTCATGATCGTCCTGATGTGATTGGTTTAGATTAAAAAATACCACGATGCCATTGGCTAGCTCGAAAACAATGACCGATGATGTCACTCTTACATTACCTTATGCTTACATTTTGATTCGAGATTTTTTCTCCCTGTACCAAAACTAACTCGCGCGTCGGATTTATGATGCTGCCGCCTCGTCACCCTCGCGTCCTCGCGAGGGTGACTCGTTGGCAATTATTGTTCTCTTTTACTACGTTCCTGTTCAACAATCTTAAACATAAATTTATTTCATGGGATACCAATATAATGCAATGATATCTCCAGTTATAGGTATTGTCCAAGAAACTAATTGTTTAAATTTTATATACAACTTTTCAAAAAAAGCTATATTTCAAAAGTTAATTGTTAACAAAAGTTACAGAAAAAAGCTAAAGAAACTTTATTTTTTTAGAATATTATGGTTAAAACAAATTATGTAAATAAGATCTATAAGGTTCCTGTTATTGAAATTACATTTAACAAAACTGTTCACGTGTCTCACTTGAATAAAGTAAATAAGACAACATTCAAATAAACACACTACTTAGGGAAGCCTACAAAGAAAAGACATCAAAATGAAGCCACCAACCGTATATATTCTGAATTACATTTCAAAGAATACCACCAACCCAGTCAACTAAAAAGGGATTAACCGCAAAAAAAAAACATAGTATACCCTGTACAAAGCATCACACCATAGAAAAAAAGCGGGGGCAGCTTTAGTGAGAACTATTACTAGTGTTATCATATTTGATTAAAAACAGTATCCAAAGGAAAATGAAAAGAAGAGGTGAGAAACGCGTAGGCGCCGAACGGGAGAAATCACTTTCATTTACGAAAATAAAAGAAATGGATCAATAACATTGGCGAGCAAATAATCGTTATATGTATTTGGAAAATCGATGGAAAAGGTTTAATACATATGTTTGGAAAATCAAGCTTTCTCGACCTTGAACCTTCGACAATGATTCATGCCGACTCCGTGTCATTTCTCACCTCTACTGATGATCAAATTCAGAAGTATTCGTCAATGTTTGGCTTTTCGTGGACAAACCCATAGAGCGGGGGTGAATTCTCAATGGTATATAAAGTGTGCTCTGTTGTGGCTTAGAGTCTATAATCACGATTTGGGCTTGTAACTAAGTCAACTCTACAAGGTTCGTTTTGAGTATTCCGGATACGCCTCTCACTTTCTGTTACACATGCGTGTCTTGTGACATGCAAATCAGCTACGAAATGGTATCTAATGCGCATGTGCATCAGTTGACTGTGTCCCTTTAAGCAAACTTTAATTAACACCTTAGCTTTAGATCTAGAAGAATTTTAGATTTTCCTGAAATTAATAATGATTATAATAATAAATAAGAATAATAATAATAATTATAGTTATTATTATTATTGTTATTCAGTGCTAAATTGTAGTTGAACGCGTGTTTAGAGTTTCAGAAGAAGTAAATATATTGGTTTGTTTTCTATAGTTATAATTTTACAGCGTACGGCTTTTACAGCTCCGAAAGCATGTCCCGCACTAGATTAGCCATTGCTATTTGGGATCATGTCGAACTTGTAAATTTTTCTGAAAAGCAATAAATAATGCGGGCTTGTGTGTGTATTGGAGAAGTATCTTTAAAAAGCAGCTTTGTTTTTCTCTATAGAACGTAAAGTCGTAAAGTTTACTAATTGTAAGAGGCTCCTTTAACCAGAGTTAATGATGTTCGCTAACGGGTCCTCTGATAATTAACCCAAGTTATAACCCTTTTTAGAGCAATTTTCAATTGAGTGTTGAAAGTAATCCAGGATTGAATTGGTTTTGCTTTACTGTGCTGTTTGATTGGTCTAGAAAACTCGCGCCACCCTCTCAGCCAGTCAGATGTAAACTAAAACCAATCGCTCCTTGGTCACTCGCGTTTTCCCGCGCTACAAGCCGGTTACACGCGTTTACTTCGAGTTGCCATTGGCTCCCTCTGATAATTTCCTTTACTCTGATTGGCCGTTGTGATTACTTTGGTTTTGGTTTTCGACACTCAATTGAAAAGCGCTCTATCAGACACTCAAGTCTGTTTACGCGTTGATACCCGTTGGGTACGCCTTATAATGGCCTAAACGAGAAGGTTCCAATTCGATCGCAAATCAGTCCTCAAGTAATATAGAAGGGTAGGGATTTCGCTAGTTGAACTATATGAAAGGAGGGGAAAATCTGTCGCTAGGAAACAAAAAAGCCTATCAGACGCATCCCGGCTTTAGCTGTGAAAAAGACAATAACACAGGTTTAGTGATTTATTGATATTCAAAGAACGGTGCGTTTACAACTTAAAAGGAAAGCAAATTCCTAAACTAGGAGTGTGGAGGGGGTACCATTTATCAAAAGAAGGTATACGAAAGGGGCACCTAAGTATTCTAGCGAAACTTGAATTGCAACATTTGAATACACTGTATTCATTCACATCATTCTGCCGGTTACTTGCCGGTTTACCGAATGTTCTTCCATTCAGTCATTCTTGAATTTAGTTTACTTGGATTTCTTTACACCATCTTTTTTCTATCGGTCTTTTTCTTAATACCATCTGTCCATTTTTATTTCTTACGAAAATATTTGATTCTTTGTTGATTTATCCATCAAGCGGCACTTGGCAATTTGTCATCACTCGAATCCTCACTTCCTCTTTCATTGAAATTCAAATCTCTGTTATTGGCCCGACGGACGGCCGACGTTATACTGGCTGGCCGTTGGACCTGACTGC